ACACCTTTAGTCTTTACTGGACTTGTAGGGAGTCTTAGCAACCTGCATGCTGCCAGCAGTAGCACTTCATGACAGTCAGCATAAAGTGAAAAAGCTGAGAATGCAGTCCAGCTGAAGGCTTGTGCTTGTGTTTCTTTGTTTACTTTAATATTGTCCTTCCTGATCCATACTTTTTTGCTGGAGAATGCTGTGCCACATAACATGGACATAAAGCTTCCCTGCTTTACAGTGTTTACTTTAAATTCCATTTCACCCATCCTAGCAGAAAGACAAACCCCATGATGTACTAAAGCTTCTCTGACTACCACAACAGAGGCATCCAATATAGATTAAAATATTTTTAATTAAGTACAGTACATAAGACCCTCTTGAGATCAAGAAAGTGTCATACTGGTGGTCTTCTACAGGGCCACAGAAAAAATCAGAGTTTGAGTCTTGTTGCTTCTAGTTTGGTAGAAACTGTCACAGGAGGAAGGTACTGGGAAGTGTTTCTTTCCCAGTGTCATCTGTGATATGGTCTGACAGGCTATTAGAGAAAATATGTGGGAGTCTTCTCGAAAGAAAAAAAATCAGTGTCTGACATTTAGAAACCACTTCAGATACTCCCCTGCAGCCCCCATTGCATTCTTATCTCTTTCAGAAGTATATATATATGTTTTTTCCAGGTGGATATTACTGGTATGTGCCTTTCTACACCTTCTGAGCCAACACTCAGCACGCCAAGCACTAGGATTACAGATTCTAGCAGAGATTTTGAGAAGTGAGGAGATAAAAAGGTGAGTGGACTTGATGGTTAACTTTTCCACTTAGTTTAGGAGTCTTTTCAGGCAAGAACATGGAATGAGGAATTATGCTGGATGATGCTACTGTAAGGTTTGGTCCTGTTAGCGTGCAGACCTATGACACTGACCAGAAACTGCAGTGATATTAAAATGGAAAGGAGTACATACTTTCATCATAGGTAATCATACATTATTTGTAGCTCAAAAAATTAGGTTATAGTGGTATTGCATACCCTTAAATGATACGAGAAATAAGCTTGCATCGTGAGGGCAATTCAGTGTACTTGCATTTAACTGAACAATTAACCTGGTCGATAAAAAGTGCAAATCATTGCCTGCAGTAATCATTCTGTGGCAAAATTGGTGTATTATCCAAGTTGCAAGTGTCATGGAGTTAGTGATTGAACTCAGTATTGCCAGTTCACTCACCTTTCAGTGACTCAACTGATTTTTTTAATGGCTTCTTTTTCTTTTTCTGTTTAAGTCTTTTTCAGACTAAGGTGGTGCAGCCCTAGGGCTGTGGCTAGACAGGGGCTGTCTGCTGGTGTGAGTAGAGGGGGCTACACCCAGGCATTATGGGGACAGAGACTGGATTTGTGGCCATGGACAGCAGGAAAACAAGAGGCAAAGAGAGGCAGATGCCATGCCTCAACAACTGTTGAGGGGTCCAGGTAACCACTTGGTGACAAAGTTGCTCCTTAACACTCATCGCCCTCTGCCTCTGGCATGAGAAGGAGGACGTAATACAAAGATCCTAGGCTGAGGACAAGGACAAGGAGAATGGGAAGGGATGTCAGTTGCCCTAAAGAACAACTACTCTCATTTTTTTGGTATTCTTAATAATTTTATGGACTAATGCAGTGATTGCTGATGCACTTTTTTTGTGAAGAGTGTAATCTTTTAATAGAAAGAGGATTACTGTTTCTTGAGAGTTTTGAATGTCTGAGAATTGATTACTTAAACACATACCTAACCAAATACAGTGATTCTGCACAGGTTATGTTTTTTTTATGTGTTCATGAGAAAGCTTATATAAACAGTCTTGCAATATAAAAAACTTTACAGCTTACTCAAATCTGTGTTTGAAACATCACTGCAAATAAGATGCATAACTAGTAAGAGCTTAAATGTTCATTGTTGTGCCTTTTATAGCATGGAAATAGAAAATAGTAGTTAAATATAAAAGAGACTGCTAATGTTAAAACAAAAGTGTCTGGCACTTTCTGTCATATTTATGGCACAATGTATTTTCTGTCTGAATGGCTTGGAAATGTTGCTGGTGTTGACTTTTCCATCTGAAATCACCATACAAAAGTTGACAGAAGTATCCTTTTAAAAATGTTAAAGAACACTAAAAACTGTATTCCCAGAGGCCTGAGTTTATTACTTGGGTCTTAATTTGTGGGTTTGCTTTCTGGAGATTGACAATGGAAGTGCCAGGTTTTCGTAGTAGAAGTTAATTTAATTGCTGTCCTTTTTACATCCAGGCTTGCTGTCAAAGGATCTGCCAGTTCTGCACTGAAATTTTGAGTGAAGTCTTGCTGGATAAAGTAACTTAAAATCAATGGAAATTCTGGTTTAAAGGCAGCAGGTAAAAATTTTTGAATTGCTTATATTCTTCCAGGTTGGTGATTGTGTTTTCTTCTGTCTAGTTCTACCAGAATAATTCTGATACTGTTTTTCCATTTAATTACTCAAATTAACTAGCATTTTAAAAACAAATAATAGGCAAATGTGAAGAGAGGTAAACTGTAGTACATCTGAGAAAGAATTATGAAAGAAATGGATGAAGCAATTTCAGAGACGATGTGGTCACCAAGTGAAAAATTAAAAGCTTAAAGCTTCTCTCTGTAAATTAAATATTATTTAACCTTAGCAACACTTTTGGACGTGGTCAGACCTGTAAAAGGTATTGAAATGGAATGGAAAAAAACACTGGGAGTTGGAAGCGTGTCCAAGAACCATATGCATCCACATGAAAAACACTTGGCTCTGTGGCCCCGAGAGGCTGCTGCCTGCGTGATGGGGTTAAAGTTTAATCCGAGCTGAGATTGTCTCCTGCACACCTCTCTACACTGTGCTGGATGTTTCCTGTTTTCTGTACTCGGCAGTCTTGCTCAACCATCTCAAAGTCCAACTTGTTCATCCTTATCTAATCAGAGATATTGTTTATTAAATAGTTTGTTTTCCCAACTTGCCTACAGCCCTAACCCCCAATGTGGACAGCCTAACTATTAACCCCTCTGAAAGAAATTTGCCTGTATTTTTGGCTCCACAGACATGAACATCATGGGCATATGTGGTTGTTGGGCAGAACAGACTCGTGCCCACAGAGCCCACCAAGGGGATTTAACAAGGGAGTTTTTGTTTTGCTTTTTGTTCTGTGCGACTTGAAGCTGAGCTGCAACAAACACCATGACTTGGAACGAAAAATAGGCAAGCACACAACATCACTGTTATCAGAACCCAAATCTTTGTAATAGTTTCAAGAGTGAGCATAGCAAACCATGATATGACTTTAAATCAAGCTGCCTGAGGCAACATTTCAGGGCTGTGCAAAACACCTATAACAGGACATGAAGGTGAGTGCTGTGCTGACACTGGTCGCTGTGCCTTTTTGTTGACTTTTGTTTTTGAAAAAGCAAGTAGGCAAACAACTGGCTTCTGCAGAAAGAGACACTTATATGTTTATTACCTGTTTCTCTAGTCAGCACATAGTCCCTCCAAAAAAGCTCAATCAGGTGCTGCATGTTAATATATGCATACAGTTTGCAAAACACAAACCCCAACAGATGTCTGAAGTGGACCAGCCTGCTGAAAAGATCATGGTAGATGTGGTTTCTGCACCACTACAGGAATACTGGACACTGTGGCAGAAATTCAAAGAGAAGGTAGGCATAGATGTCGAGAGGTTTATGGAACAGGCAATAAAATATGTCTTATTTTTCATCATCAACATTTAAAAGTCCCTGTTATACAGCTGCGAACGTGGCATTCATAGCTTGCCATGAGGAACAAAGTCGTGGAAAGGGACATTGATGTTGCTGACTTGGCCTGTAAGTGCACGGATAAAGTGGCTGATGGGGTGGATTCTCCCAGAGGACAGATACTCTGTGGGAATGAAGTTTCTTCAGCACAGACACACATATAGTGAAAAAGCACAGACCATAGAGTACATAATTCTCTCTACATTTTTGGCAGATGTATGTTTTACTGAAAATTATTCAGAACCACATGTTGGGCCCTACCATCTGCTAAATTTGGATATGATGTCTGCAAAGCTGGTGTGGAAATAACACAAAACGAAACTCTGCCTTCGGGAGAGAAACTACCAATGCCTTTGTAGCTACAACTGTCTCCCACAGAAAATTACCTTTCTTATTTTGTGAAATATGTACCCTCTCCATACAAATGTAAGCTAAAGTTAAATTTCAGCACTCAGAGCTCGATTTTATCTGAAATCCCTGTTAAAATGTCTCAGTACTTGAATGGAAAAGAGCCTGAGGACTCTGGTCTAATAAGACCTGCTTTGAGCATGGAATTGGACCATGGACCTTCATAGGTCCTTTTCAACCTGTGTGGCTGTAGAATCAAAATTATTACATCTGTGCGGATGCATGAACATGGAAGTAACTTTTTTTGTCAAATATGGTAAGGAAAGATGGATTTGCCAGTCAGGAATACAGACAGAGAAAACAGACAACAGAGTTTTACTAGAAAGGTTATTTATTTTGTAGAAAGTTTGCTTGTAAATAACTATTAAAAAAAAAAAATTCAGCCTGCATCCAGACAAATTGCTGTTGAAATACCCAGTCTGAAAATTCACAGCTGGAAGGAAGGCTTTTCCCTTCTCTTAAAATGCAGTGTCTTCTCACTAATTCATTGATACCTACTGTAGTTAGAAAATCCTCTTGTGCTTCTAATCTAATAGAAACCTATAATTTTATGTCCTGTGTTCTGTCAGAATAATGCTTATGTTGGACATGTCTTGGAAACAAATGTAGCTTTGGTCTAATTTAATAACTTGCCTTGGACAATAAAGCCTTGAGTTCTGCTGCAGGCCCATCAAGAAAGAATCCTCTTGTGCAAGCAGCCGTTGCTATGTTCAAAAATAGTCTCCAAACTACTGGGAATGAACCAACACCCAAGAAAAATGACACTGTTTAAAAATTAGTCACTAAGTCCATTTTAAACTGAATGAAACCAAAATCCTAAGGCCACAATTCAAAGAGCTAATGCTATGCCTTGAACTTATATAGCCTGTGATACAGCAAGTCAGCTCCACTCTCCCCTGGTAGAAAAGAGAGGGAAAAGGCTTTTGTGTGTTTGAAACTGCCTTTTTAGCCTGAACTGCAGAACAAAATCCAACAGGAATTAAGAATTCACAGTAACCTCCCATTTTCTGTTCCAAGGGCGATGTACACTTCTCTGACTTGTGGCACAGAAAAGAGGAACAAAAATCATTCTACATGTGATGGGTCAGAGGCAGCAGCAACAGAAGGAGTCCTTGCCTGAGATGACCCACTGGCAGGGTGGGCACTGCCCAAGCACCAGTAACTCAGAAACAGCTCCGAGCAGGCTCAGTAAAAGCAGAGCCTCTGTTGTGAAGGTGAGTTGTGCACTTAGGAAAATAATTCCAGAAGGACATAAAGAATTTATTAACTTGCTTCTTGCACAAAAGAGTTTTTTCTCCACTGGTTTATCTGAAACTCTCACACTTGCAAGTTCAAGCCCTAGGCCCTCCGCATATTGTTTTGTCTCCACGTCAACTTATCTCTAATGACCTGAAAATTCTCTTCTTGTTTAGAAGGGATGCCTCACATTAGTGTTTTCAATTTTCAGCTCTGAGGCTAAGGGAAATTATTGACCTCCCCTGGACTTTTGGGATGACAAAGTACTACTGTACAAACAAGGAAAATATCTTTGAAACAAATGGATGAATCATTTTCCCACATCAAAACATTTATTAACTGTATATAGTTCATTGGTTTCTTTTCTAAGACATCTTTCTTTTCCCTCCTTCTTTTTTCTTTCCTTGACCCATTTATTGTACATTGCTGTGAGATCTTTTTTGCAAGAATGAATATGAATGGGCCCTCATGAAAAAAACAGGGCACTGTTCTGGATTTGTATAGCACAAAGATATAAAAGAGTGAAGAGAAAAAGAGTGCCAGCAGTAAAACATTCAGAGCTGAAGATGCAGAAATACGTTGCATATGCAGGCACTTAGTGAAATAAATACATGACAAAGCTCAAATCCTGTCATCCTGACCCTGTGTAAAGCCTGAGAAGAGGTTTGCCCATCTGCCTCGGTATCCTCAGAGTTTTCAGCAGCTGGGAATTTTACCTGTGCCATTTTTCCACTGTCCTCTGGCAGGAGAGGTGGTTTGCCTTTGGAATGACATGGAATCCACCAGCAGTTTTTACTTACCTCTGATTTTCAAAGCTGTCTTGAAAATATCCCAGCTGATTACCGCAAGAGCAAAGCAGTGCTCTGACGCCGTTCCTCTGCTAACCTGCACTATGTGTTTGTGTTGTGTAACTGGTACCTGCTGGGTCCTGATAGATGAAGGTTTGGCATTTTCTTTGGTTTCATCTCTCAGGAGTTTTATGTCTTTCACACCTATAACCAGACCTGTTAAGGCATAAATCACCTGGGAGAGACCTGCAGGAAGAAAATTCAAAAAAGAGCTCTTCCATCACCAATATAAAAAACCCCAAAGAACTAAACTCAATAAAAAATATTGTCTGTGGTTCACTCTAAACTTAGGACTGTGGTTTTAAAAACAGTTCAACCTAATTCCATGTATAAGTGGAATTTGATGCAAAGCCTGAGGTGGGCTTTTCATTAGGTATACATACTTTTTGCCTGTTTTCAATCTGTATGAGATCTTTTGTCACCTGCATGGTTTTATATTTAACTGTGCCCACATACCTGGTACAAAGTACCTATCCAAATGCCTAACCACCAGGGCACACAAAGTTAATGGGTCACTGTTAGAGTGGCCCCTTGATGTGCTGTGCTATTGGTTCCTGTCCTTGCAAACAGATAACAGGTGTTCTGCTTCCTGCCAGGAGCAGCGAATGAGCCACTCAGGCTGAGATGGGAATTACAGCTCCAGAATGGCCAAGGATCCTGAACAACAGATGCACCTGATCTAATCTTTCCTTTGTCTCGGTGCTGGTAGGAAGGCAAGGTAAAGTAATCTTGAATACCTAAGTTCAATCAGTGACTGATAAGACCTTTAATGAGCTGGACTCACTACAACTAGTGATGATACCAACCAGCACAGGAATCATCCTGTGATGTGTATTAACATCTGTCATGTATCAGTGAAAATGTGCATTTGTGACCCGTCTGTCCAACAACAATGGATGTGATTCTGTTTTCCTATTTCTACCCTCAGAGTTGACAATTAATGGAGCAGCAGAGGTTTTATTTTTAAGAGCCTCTGGTCCGAGCAAACAGAATGGGAAGGGTGGAGGTGCAGATAGGAACTGCAGGGGAAAACCGTAACTAGTAAGAGGCTTCATAAAATTTGAAGTATCCAGACAGAACTTGTGGGGGAATTCCCATAAACCACTTCTGCTTTTGAAGGGTCTGCTAAAAACCACAGCTTTGAAACAGACAGAGGTCAGAGACACCTTAGTAAATATGAGGAAATAAGGCCCTTCCTTCCTCATTAGCTTAAATTTGAAACATTCACTTTGTCCAACATTTCTGTTGCCCTAAGGCAAGGAATTTTGTAACCAGTGTACAAGAAAGTAGGCAGGATAGCTGTGCGTGTTGGTGTGAGAGCTTTTCTTTGAGAACAGTTAAGGAGAGCTGGCAAACCACACCTTCAGCTGGGATCATCCACTCCCCTCCCAGGTATATAGCATATATTAAATAGGGTCTATATGAACATAGTTGATTTTTTAAAGGAACCTCGTGGTTGGTTTTAAGTGAATTATTCTTTGTCCATTTGGAGGCACAGGAAGCCCACTGCAAGCAGCACCATATCCAAGTTTGCACACTTCCCCTTCTGTCCAGTGGCAAGTTCCCTGGCTTTTGTGTCTGGAAAGGCATGAATTGATCACAGCAGCTTCGGGCTGCTGTTCAGTCGTAGGCTGGAATACATTCCCACATGCCGGACCAGGTTGGGTTCCACCACATAGGCGTTCTCCCCCTTGGCCCACAGCAGGGAGTAGAGGGCGGTGTCCTTAGCAAATCCCTGCCGGCAGTGCAGCTCCTGCAGGTAACCTAAGGCACGCCGGGCTGAGGAAGCAGGGAAGAGCATAGCTGGGGTGCAGCACTCGGTGACTGGCACCACGTTGTAGAGTGCAGGGTGCAGGCGGCGCAGCTCCAGCAGGTAGTGCCGCCCCACCAGCTCCGACAGGGCCATGCTGTACAGAGCAAAGAACAGTGCGAGCAGCCAGCTGGGGCCGGGCCGCCCCAGCGCCCACGAGTACACACAGCTCAGCACCGGCCCCAGCAACATGCCCAGGCCAAGCCACTCCAGGATCCTCATGGGCTCAGGGTTGAAGTAGCGCTGGAGCCGCTCAGGATGGTAAAGCTTGAAGTAGAGAGCATCTCTGAGGTACGGCTTGGAGAACCGGGCCAAGAAGAGGTGCTGCAAGACAGAGAATATCTCCTTCTCTGGCACAGCATCATCTTCCACTACAAGGATGTACTGTGGGTTGTATGATAACAGGGACTGCTCAAGGCAGAAGACATAGTCCTGCTTCTCCTTTTCGAACTGGTTCAGCCTGGGGTCAGGGTTCTCTCCAGTTCTGTCACGACTGACCATAGGAAAGAAGCTGCTCAGCAGCTTGACATCCTGATGGCTACTGGGGTCTGACTCCACGTTGCAGAGGAGCACGCGGTGGCTCCGGCAGCGTGCACCACATTCCTGGAGGAGGTGGTGGAAGCGGGAGGCCACTTGCAGGACATAGTGGAAATCATACCGCCTCTGCACAGTGATAATGGTGATCAGCAGCAAGGGCTGGAAGGCATCGCTGCCAGAGGCCTCGGAGGCATTTGGTACCTGCATCTTCTCAAAGTAATGGAGGGCATCCTGTCCCTCCTGCTGGTTGTGCTCCAGGAACTCCTGGCTCATGGGGTTCAGGTGCCAGCGCCGCAAATAGAAATAGGAGTGGAGGAGCCGGTGGCAAATCAAAGGGGCAACCACTCCGAATGTCACCACAGTCAGCATGAGAAGATGGACAACAGGACTGGACCAGCGGCACCACCTCCCACAGAGCTGCCAGGCTTGGTGTAACATAACTGCTGCAGAAGGAGGGCACTCCTGTGCTGTTCATCCCTCAATCCTTCACTTCCAGTGCGTCTTCCTCCCTGGATTGCAAGGTATCACTGGGGCAGTGGCTGCCAAACCTGCACAAGTTGTCCAAGCCTAAAAAGGAAGAAAAAGTATGGTTACTGAAATAGGAACTGGCAGAGAAAATGGAAAGCAGGGGGTTAGTCACTAAGTAAATCAAAACACATCATCCTTTAGGAGTCCCTTGTGGTGTGGGGGCATCACACAATAGTCCTGGGAGGTTTAGGATAGATCAGCCAAACTTAGTTTCCAGCAAAGTGCCCCTAAGGCCTTTTCATCACATAGGAGTTCTGACCTAACTTAGCTCGATACAACTTTGTTGTGTTTGTTAGTGTGCTTCAAACAACAGACAATGTGGATGGAGGATTTGTGGAAATCCCTTCCTGTTAAAGGCAGAGAACTGAGATACCACTTTCTGGTCACAGTGACACAGTAAGATTTGTGTTACAGCCAAGAACCACAGCCAGATCTCTTGCGTCTTAGCCTAGCATGTATTTGAGAGACAAACTTTTACCTTTTTGGAATGGCACATGCTTCCCTTCTGTTGCTCACACAATTCCAAGCACCTGCTTTTTCACTTTCCTCCCTAGAGTGTGAAGCCAGATTACAAAGACACCAATTTACTTCACCAAGGGCCCGTTCACATGCTAAGTGTAATGTGTGTGTCTGTGTGCCTGTCTTTTTCAGATGTCTCCTCCTTGCTATACCCTGTGAAATACATGGGCACAGCAAGATGTTGCAACTGAGCCACTGACTCATATTTCTTATTTAAAAGTTTGCAATTTAAAAGTATATGCCTTTTATTTAAAACTGAAACATTCATATAAACATATGATTTTTTTGTATAGACATGCACTTTAAATAAACATCCACCTTTGCAAAAGTTAGAATTTATCAAATTTGGCTTTTCTGTTCTGCTTCTCTGGCTGCTATGAACACCTCACAGCCTGGCTGTCAGAAGCTTACACAAAATCAGGGTAATTAGGCTGTTCAAATAAATTCTGTTGTGCCACTAATCTCCCTTTTTAATCTGCTGTTTCGTTCTCCCTTTAATTTCCTATTCCCTCTCCTTCTGAACTGAGTTATCCATACCCCCCAACCAAGCTAACTGACTGCACTGGGTGTTCAGTGGAGAGCTTCTATGACTTTTAACCCTCTGCCTTCAGCAAGTTCTAATCATCAAGTGGTGCTCCCAGGACAAAATGTTACTCTTTGTTCTCTTCTGCACTGTCATCTGAAGGAGCTTAAGCAATGTTCGGTAGGCAGAAAGAAATCATGGCTTTTGTCCTCTGTCTCAGAAAAATGGATCTTGTACAACGGACAACTTGGAGGAGACAGAGCAGCATCTGACTGGGGGAACTTCGAAACTGCCTTCATTACCGTAGTCACAGATTTGCTGGTTTTACCATGAAGAGAAACTTTTCCTATTGCCATATGGGAATGTGACAACATTCTATGAAAGGCCTTTTAACAAGATTAATGGAAAATATACAAGAGTTATTCCAAATATTTGATAGAGAACAGGCACTTCATGCTGTGAGATCTCAAACCATCCTTAAATAGATTGTGGTGTCAGTGTTGTGCTCTCTTATGATTCAAGAAAAGATTTAGAGTAATTAAATAGAGATAACAAATTTACATGTTGATGCATGAGAATCTGCACCCATACAGGTTTTTTTTTCTTTTTCAAACAATTGTAAAACAATCCTGTTTCACAGACACTGCATTGCATCAGTGGACCTTGTAAAGGCCTTAAAGGTGATGGCTGCCTTTCAGCTGTGAGATCCAAGTCATAAGAATTCAGGACATGAAGACCTGAAATCTAGCAGATGCAAAGACCTGGCATTTAAATCCATGTATTCATCCAATGGGCTTTCCAGCTAACCTGCCACAAGCATTAAGGGAATACACAAATGCAGAATCATATTCTGCAACTCACAGTGGCATACTCCTAAGTCTCCTCTTAATGTGAGCATCACTGTGGGCACTGTATCTGAGCCAGACCCCAAATGTGAAAGTGAGGACCACAGTGGGAAAAGGAGATGAAGAAAAACTAGCAGGTAGCTTAGTTCTCAGGAGTGAAGAACTTTACTTTCCACCTGCCAGCTATAATGAAGATCTGAGCTACAAAAACTGTGAGCCAGCAGTGAGCCCTTGGGATACACACTGAATATATGAATATACATTAATAATTCTTTGAGCATTTCTTAATTAATAATTCTCCGAGCAACTTAGTCTAATGAGTGGCATCTCTCATTGGAAGGATTAGAACTAGCTGGTCTTTAAGGTTCCTTCCAACCCAAACCACTCAAGGAGGCCTCCTTCCCTAGTACCATCTTCTCCTGAAGGGGGAAAAATGGGTGTCCTGTCTTCTCTGGTGGCCAGCAGAGCTGGCCTCATGATTCAGCCTCATGAGCTGAATCAACCAGATTTTCACCTGAGGTCCTGCAGCCCGTGTCATTTAAGGGTGAGGCTCACCTGAAAGTGACTCCCAGGCTCCCGCAGGAGGACTCACATGGGATCTGAAGCCCAACAGTCCCTTCTCCACTCACCTATTGGGAAAGTAGTGCTGGGACTCCACCTGCTGGTGTCTCAGCTCCTGGCTCGGGACAGGGTGGGTGAGGTGGTGCAGGGGAGCATCACCCCATCTGGAGGTATCTCCTGCTTCACACAAGGAAGTAGCTGCCCCTGGAAAAGGGGACTGGAAGCCAGCCACGGTCACAAGCATTTATGATTTAACCCTGGCTTCACCTCATCAGTAACTGAACTCAAGGTCTCAGAGCTCTTATCCTGGTTCTGCAACTCAGGGAGCCTCAAGGAAAACAACAATCACACACACACTTCTGGAACTCTTTCAGTCTGCTGCCTAGGCTGTTTGCAGTAACACTGACTGTCACACAGGGAAAACACAGGCTGTTTTCCCTGGACAGTAAAATAACCACAGAGGTTAAAAACAGTCAGGATCATATTAAATCAGGTCAAATACTGCAATTCATGCAAAAACCAAGCTGAAGGATCTCAAAAAGAGGGAAGGCACTGACCTCCTTCCCACCTTCTGTTTGTAAGACTGGGAACCTGAGAATTCTGATATAGATAAAAAATTTCTTACTTCTGCAGAGGTGAAGTTTGATCTTATCTGCAGAATTTGAATCCAGAGTTTCTGTTCAGGCTGTTTTCTATCCATTAGGATGGTTCTGACTTCACAGAAGCCCCTCTGTTTTCAGAAGCTGTTGGTACTGTAATTTTCATCTGTTTCCCTTTCTAGGGGGGGAAAAAAAATCTTGTTTGTTTTTCTTTAAGTAAGGCATTTCAGACAGAAAAACAATGAAGTTTGAGGGGAAAACCAAGAATCAGAATTGGATTTTATAGTGCTTTAAGAAATCCCTCTACATTAAACCTGAGTAGTAACTACTTAGCAAACATATAAATACTTGCTAAGGAGATCAGCTTTATACATGTTCTGTGTAGAACTGAGCCATTGCTTAAACATGTCTAGAATCTGTGGTGATATAAAGCTATAGAAGTTGCTTCTTTCTTTTCTTAGATCCTCGTGATGAAGATTCCTTCCAGAAACACCTGATTCCAAATCTATATCCCTAGCTTCACTGGTCCCCTAATTCCATGGCTGAATTACACTGCTCAGGAAAAAGTCACCTCTGCACACATGAGGGAGAGTAGAAAAATGAGTAATATCCTCTTTGGGGTGCAGAACATTGTCTGCTGTGTTTGTGCTTTGAGAGAAAGCTGATTTTTTGTCTGGTCCAACCTTCTCTCCACAGACATATTCCCATAGGCAGGAAAAAAGTTTCCTACATGTTTCAAAGCATCAACAATTTTAGGTTCCTGCTTAGCTAATGTAAAACAGGGCATCTGCCTTCTACTTCCTGCTCCATGAGAGAAGGACACAACTATTTCTTTACAATTAAAGTATTAAACAATTCCTTTTCGCCTATCTACACTTCTCAGTCTCAATAGGAAAGATGTTCCTTTCCTACCAGAGAAACAGCTGGAGGAAGCTGTGGGGTCAGAAACCATAGGGTTGTCTCTGTGAGAAACGAAGGCGTGGAAAATGTCACAGAAAGTTTGGCAGTCACAGTCTCCACCTGAGCCACAACAGTGGCAGCAGTAAAGGTGTTCACACAAGCTCCAGTCTTCACCTGTGTGTTGATCCTATAGCAGCATACCAAGTTAAAACCTTTATGTGAAAAACACTTCTGTGCCCCAGCTTAAGATTACACGGACTAGCTGCAAGCTCAGGACCAAGATCTCTACTCATTAACCCCCTCTGGCAGAGAGAGGGCCTTTGTCTTGCTGTGTCAAACAATCCTGCCTGAATCTGAGGGAACTGATGTAGGCTTCACAAAAAGCTACACAGATCTCCTCCTGTTCCCTGACAGCCGAATGTGGTGCACAGATATCCTCGAATTCTGAAACCTGAGGTCCCTACCATGAGCTGATCCCTATTACTGGGCCAGATGGCCAGCTTTTCTCATCCTCAATTCCCCTTGTTTTCTGACAGCTTTTAGTAGGTCAGGTGCCAGATAGTATTTCTGCAATGTGTCAGGCCTGTCTTGGCAACAGCAGTGCCCAGTAGAAGCCAAGCACCTACAGATCTGACCATTACACTCAGATACCTAAGTGGAAGTTGGGCTCCCTAGAAAACAAAGTGAGCTGTGCTTTAAAAACATTCAGCAGGACCTTAGTGGTAAGAAATCACCTGTTGTTTTTTGATTTTATTTCCTGGCTACTGAACTAAGAAACAAGGTATGTGGATGTGGCAGCAGCATGATACTTTCTCCATTTCATTTGAACTAAGAGGATAAAACTATGCCACAAGTGAAACAGGCTATGAACTGGATATGTATTAATTACAATTATTTCCCCAATTTCCATCTTGCTTCTCATGTATAATAATTTTCCTCTGCCATATAAACCTTAAGGGAGCCCATTCTCAACAGCTGCTGACTTCTGCCTGGCAGCCTGCCTACAGTGCAATGCTCTTCTGTGTTGCTACCAGGCAGGGAAGTAAATCAGATCAAGTGGGAATGGAAAGCAGCCTGGAGAAGAGAGTTCTGCAAGATAATAGCTAAACACACAGACTTAAGGCAAGGTTTGCGAGGAGCTGTCTTTTAGAAGATGACGCAAAGGTTTATGTGGTTTTAAAATTAATTATGCAATCCATATCTGTCTGAAGTTACATTTTTCTTTTGTGCCAGAGGTAAAAAAAAAAAGGGTATATTAGGGAATTTGATAAAAGATGTCTAAAAACTGCTTTGTTTTGTCATTAAGGTCTACAAAATTTTAAATGCTTGCTGTAGTATAAAATGCCTCTATTAAAAAAACCCAAAACAAACCAACAAAAATTACCTTAAACAATACTGCTGCTAACAATGGTACCAGCTTTCTACCTTTTGCTGCCTACCCTTAGAATCTCAGAACTAAATGTGCACTGAATGATCAGAGATGATATAGATAATTTGCATTTAATTCCTTGTGTTATAGCCTTTTGCTAGAATAAAACTAGGGACCCTGCATGCTGCAGGGCATACTGCTCACATTGCAAGAGGCAATTTCTGCCTTAGTGGATCCTCAGCTTAAGAATATAAAAGATTGGAAGGAATTTGTTTTTCTCATGCAGCATATCGGCCTGATTTTCCTGTCATCAATAATTGGCATTTTATAGTCTACAGAGGACCTTTTTCACTCAGTCTTCCTGGTAGGGTGGCCTGGAGCAGAACCTAATAAAGTCACCCATCCCTGCCCTCCCTTAATCCTAATTCATCACCTTTGGTGAGTTCCTCATCCATCCCCAGGCACAGCTGCTTATTGATACAGAGTGTGACCCCCCTCCTCATTTTCCCCACCTGCCCTTCCTAAAGAGCCTGTGTCCTTCCATTCCAACACCGCAGTGTCACAAGCCATTCCACCACTTCGCCACGATGCCAGTAAGATCACAGCCCTGCAGATGAGTGTAAGTCTCTAACTCCTCTTGTCCATTGCCCGTATCTGTGCAGAGGCAGTTGAGTTGGGCTCTGATGAAGCCCAGATACTGGCTGGAGTGGCTGGGATTCCTCTGTCCTGCTATTCAGGGGCTTTCCTGCTGACCTGTGATCCCATTCTGGGCATCTCTTGCAAGCCCTGGCTTTAAACTGATAGGATTGGGACGGGTTGAGGTTCTCCTCCCCCAGCAACATTAATTTAAGCCCTCACCAAGTTGGCAAGCATGTTGCCAAAGATGCTCTTCCCCTCCCTGCTGGGGAGCCCACAGACCCCAGCAGACCCTAGCAGACTGGGTTTCTCAAAGCAAGTCCTACATCTAAACTGAACCCCTGGCTGTGGCACCAGTCCTGTAACCAAATTTAATGATTTGCCAAATTCAACAGGTTGGTGCTTTCAAACCCTCTTCTCATTGCCTGGAAAGACTGGTGAAAAAACTACCTGTGCTCCAGAAGATGATTAAGAGACCGGAGCATCTCTCTTATGAGGAAAGGCTGAGGGAGCTGGGCCTGCTCAGTGTTGAGAAGAGATGGCTGAGAGGGCACCACATTAACGTCTGTCAGTGTCTGCAGGGAGGGGTCAGAAGACGGACCGGGCTCCTCTCAGGGGTGCACAGCAATGGGACAAAGAGGTAAAAGGCAGAAACTGATACCGAGGAAGATCCACCAAAATGTAAGGAGGAACGTCTTTATGTTGATGTGAGTGACAGTGCACTGGAACAGGTTTCCCAGAGAGACTGGAGAGTCTCCCTCACTGGAGATATTTCAGAACTGTCTGGACACAATCCTGCGCAACGTTCTCTGGGATGACCCTGCAACAGGGAGCTTAGACTGGATGACCCACTGTGGGCCCTTCCAAGCTTACCTGCTCTGTGACTCTGCTAGGCCCTGTCCTCTCAGGAATTCAGAAATATAGGCCATGTCTTATCAGGAGCAAACAGTACCAGCCTGAGCAGGAGCTAGACAAAATTAGAACTGCTACTGTTGCACTCTTGCACGAACAACCAAGTGGGGTGACTACAACTCAGTTACTGCAGGCTGTGATTGTAGCCGCTGTGAGCCCAGGGAGCTCTCTGGTATCGCACAGTGGTGATCTCCCTGTGAGCAAGGACATAGCTCAAGGTTACTTCCTGAAAATCAGAGACCCCCTTACCCAGCATCTGGTATCTCTAATGAAGTAAGAATATTTTGCATTAAGCCTAAAACTATATTGTATGTTAGTGACATTTATATGCCCAGCTATAGCTTTAGGTTTAGAAGTGTAATATGTAGCAAAGTGTAATCGTTATTTAAATCATTGTTGAAATCATCAAGCAACAACCATCAACTACATCCTTGTTCAATTAGCATTTTATTAGAGCGTGTTATTATTGTTAAATCATTGTTAAACTATAGTTAAATTATCATTCAGTTATTGCTTAATCATAATTTATAATTTCAATATCATGAAATAATTAATTATCATTTGAATATCATCTAATCATTAATAAACCCCTTTTATTATTCCCACAAGGATGACTTCTCTTCAAAATTCACCTGCAGCAGTAGAGCTGTGGGTGTATAAATGGGGGAAAGAGGAAGAGGAAATAGATGTGGTAATGGCTGCTAATACAAAAGATGTGGCAGCTTTACTGTTGTTTGTTCATTTATGACTGTAAATAATAAAGCACAGTAATAAGGAAATGCTTTGTGAGCAAAGGCCTTTGATGATAAGGCTGTAAGTTTCCAGTTGGGACAGGTCCATGTAACAATCAAAATGCAAAACTGTACCAGGCAACAACCAAAATATTGTGACTCTGACCTTTGTTTGAAAGAAAAAATGTTTAGTCATATTGACAAAAAACATTCCTCTTTTAAGAGACACTCTCCACTACTGTTAAACTACCAACTTTTCCTCTATAGTCACCACCTCTGCCTGAGGAATACAATCTTCCTCCCCTCCCCCTGCAATGTATGAAACAGACTATTTATCCCATTGGTAAATGGGATGCCCTGGTTCTCTGGGATACTGGTGATCTGCTTGAGCCCCAAGGGAAGAAGATGGGATAAATGCAGTAGCTGAAAAATAATCTGTGGTATAATTATTGTTGCCCTTGTTGGACTGACAAGCAATCAGCAGATTTCACATGTACAGGAGGCTTTTGTGCTTGCAATTGCTTGCTGAACCTGATGTGCCTCTATGAAATGATTTTCTCAGCGACTGTATGAGAGCAAGCCAGCCTATGAATCTGCAGCGTACATGGGCATAGTTTAATGTTTTGCTACACCATCGGCACCTGCAAATTTCCTAAACAGCCTTTGATTTTAAATGTCAGTGATTTCCACCATCAGGTTTCTTAGGTGCTCCTCATTCCCATCGGGAGAGCTGCCAGGTAGCACAAGGTGACCCTTAAAGCACTGGGATTAATAGCAGTTACCTCAGTGGTGATGGTCAAAGAGGAGAGGGCGGTAGATAAGAAAAGCTGATCCCACCTCCACTCTGCCCTCCTTGCCAGGCAGGACACGCAGATGGCACTTCAGTGTGCCCAGTCCTCAGCTTCCTTGCCCGGGCTTTTGACCAGGGAAGTTCTGGCCACGATTCTGCGTCGGCTTAGGGTTTGGGTGGCACTAAGCAGGGGGCTGGAGCCGGCTGGGTTTATTCCTCTCTCCTTAAGAGTTCTACCAACCGTCCCTAACGGAAGGGCCATTTATTTAGGCCCAGTCAGGCTCTGACCACCTGCCCCCCTGCTCGTCACCATGCACAGTCATATTCTCAGAGCAAGCACAAACACATCTCCTCGATCCCTGGACGCTTCTCCCTGCCCCGCTGGCTCCGGTGCCGCAGCCGCCGCAGCCCAGCCCCACCGGTTCCCGCAGATCACACCCTTCCCCGCTGCTCATAAGCCGGCAACTTCGTGGCCCCCCCTTTCCCTGTTCCCCCCAGTCTCGGTGCGGCCGCCCTTTTCCCCCCGAAAGCCAGACCCCCACGACAGCCCGATCCTGGCATGGGGATTTACCCAATCCGCGAGGCAGCCCGGCACCGCCGCTCCCGCCTCCCTCCCGCTCTCAGCTCCGCTCCCGCCGCTATCTTGGCACTCGGCTTGTAGCTCACTTCTCTTCCGCGAATTTCTCTCCTCCCTCTCGGGCGGTGAGGGTGGGATTAAAGGCATCAAAGACCAAACATGTGACTCCGCCAGCCCAGGGATGCTTAAAGGAGGGGAAGGGGAGATGGCCGCAGGGGGGGGGTCACCGAAAACCGGGGGAGGGGACTGGCCCAGTGAAAACAGGTTCAGTAGCAAAAGGCGAGTTACCCGAGCCCCAGGAGGATGCCCCGGGAGGATGCCCCGAGGTGGAGCCGGCAGCGCAGCCGGAGCTGCTCATTCCTGCTCGGCGGTCCCCGAATGCTCCATCGCGATCGGCAGGACTCCCGCACGGGCAGAGCAGGTCCCGCAGCCCGTCCCCAGCCAGGGGTAATCTCTGCCAAGTGTCAACCTCTGTCCTCTCTGCCGAGAGTCCCCGACGGCTCCCGCATCGCCCTCCCCGGCCGGGACCTGGTGGATGCTCTGGACCCCCCCCCCCCCCCGCCTCACTCCGGAGCGGGGAGGATCACTAGGACCCCACAAAGTTCGAGTGGAAAGTCAGTGTTACGAGTCACCAGCTGGTTCTTTATGTGTGTGTCAAGTGTCATAGGTGGAAACACGAAACTTTCGCTGTCTCAGTCTGTAACCTCCCCACAGGTCAAGTGGGGAGGCTCGTTAGCTACACCTACATTTGTGTCAGGCTGTTCAGGATTCAAAGATTTTACCAAACTGACCCAAAACGGCCTCTGACGTGGTTATTTCCCCTCCCCACCCCGCCCTCCTCCTCTCCGTGTTCCACTTCCCTGTTCTACACACGCTTTTCAGCCCTATGACCGTAATACCTAATTAACCAGTTACCTGAAATATGCCTCAGAGAAAGTTTTCTGTCTTTCATTGTAAAAACGCCTTAGTTTTGTGCCTGCAGCTCCAGAAAACACAAGTGTGTGTATTTGGGCTAAACTATTTTCAGGCTCTGACCTCTCTTAGGTCTAAGACAGATCTATGGGGAAAAGAAAAAAAAAACAAACCAAACCAAAACAAAAACCAACCACCAAGAGAAAAGATCCCTTAGCCTGTTTCAGTAAAACACCATGTTCTGTTAAGCACAGCTAGAATTTTTCTAGTGCACAGTTCTGTAATCAGAAGGTTCCAGCATGAGCTACGTTTTTAATTTTAGCATAGCAATTTCTATCATCCTTTCTAATAAGCATTATGAGAAAGGAACTCAGCTGTCCATCCCTGTGATCCCTATTCTTAGTACTGGCAAAAGCCATCCCATAGCTATGACTTCTTTTTGCAGAAACAGTGTGGAAGAAGGGGGGGGGAGGGGAAGAGAGGGACAATAATATTCATAATAGACAACAAAATCGAGCATCACAGTTGGGTTCCTATAGTGACTTTCTAGGAAAAGATCTCCCAGTTTACTTACATGGGTGTTGTTCTCTGAAATAATGAGGAAAGACAACAGGAGAAATCATAGTTTCTCAGGTGATTTGCTTTCCAAAATCCTTCTTTGCTAACCACCTCTGCCTCTTTTTCTGTTTTTAATGACAGTGATTCATACTTTACCTTCCACTTAAATCCTCTCATAACTTCAAAAGTTGAGACACTGGAAGAACAACAAATCCTGGAACAGAACAGAGAAAGAAGGGTATAGGAAAGTACTGGGGATGGGAAGAGATTATTTATTCCTAGGAGGTCCTTTACTATGTTCTTCCCAGGATTTGAGTTGCAGAATTTGTGATAAACAAAAAATATTTTTTCCACTTCTGTGTCAGTGTGCAAGTGGGAAAGTGACTATTGAGCAACATCAGCAGAAACACGTCAAATTGCACCCAGTACTGCATTTCAGATAGTGTTTCAGCAAGCAGAGCAATTTGGGATAGTAAATGAAAAAGAATGGGCCAGAGGGCCTCTTCTTTGGGAATATTTAAGTAATTGTAATTTTGTGTAATTTTTGTAATTGTGTGATTTCTGTACAGGCTTCCCTGCTTTCACTTTGCTCACTTGCATATGGTCTTCAGGGAACACATGACTTTCATCCTTAAACAATTATTTCTTTAAAACAGCTTCTGTTGGACCCAAAAGACTGAGGGGGAAAAGCCTCAAGTGATTTGGAGGCTGTGTCACAGAATAACAGTGGAAGCCTGTCATTCCAGAGAACTCATTCATTCTCATCATGGTGCTGTCTCCTGCTGTGCATGAGCAGGAGGGAGACTGAGCTGGCAAAAAAAACAAACCTTTTCTTATTGTGAATTATTTCTTGGCCGAGTCACTTTATCTCATCAGCTCCCCACACCAAATGACTATGTCAGCACAGCAGGGAGGGGTCTGGAAAGCAGAGATGAACATGTGGGGACAAGACTGCTTGTGCAGTAACCCAACTGCAACCTGAAATGCTCAGAAAAATAGTTATTTATGAAATTATTCAGCCTGTACAATAACAAGATAGGACTTAAAAACTATAATCAGAAAAAAATCTTGTGATAAGGATTCATCCAAGGAGTGGAGGCCCAGCCCAGCTGTTCAGATCTAAGTATTTTTTGTAGCCAAAGCACCTTTCCCCTCTGCCATCCACTCTGACAGCCTTGATGGCATTGAGCATTTGTGCAAGGGAAGGGAGATAATATTTTGTTGTGCTTTGCCTGAGATCAAGTACAGCTTCTGCTTTTCATGAGCATGAGTGTGAGAGGCAGGACCAGATAGGCTGGTGATGTTTAGGTGATGTTTAGATACTTGCACAGTGTGCAGGCAGAGCAGAAATTCAGTCTTGGGGGCTGCTGAACTGAGAAGCCTTACTTCTCTTTGAGTTGTGTTACATGTGCCCTGTGCATCACTGTCAAAATATCCTTACTCCTGTCCCGTGTTCTTTGCCTGCTCCTGATTCCTTAGCTTTCCTCCCACACAGTACTGCTTCACGTTTTCACCACAAGGCCAGGGCATGAGGGTGTGCACACTCCAGCTGACTTTGAGCTGCATGTTCTGATTATCCAGCCAGCAAATCAAGCAAAAGGTTCCTGTTCTGAGTGAGCTGAAGGCTTCTGCCCAGCAGGATGGAGATGTGCATCTCTCTGCTCTGCAAGAGACTGCATGAAGGACATGGCAACAAACTGGTTTGAGACTTGCTTCCTTCAGCCAGTTGCAATGAAATTTGAGAAGCGTATTCAACATTTATTAGGTGCAGGGAGGACCTGTCAAAAGACTGAAAGAAGGAAAGAAGAGAAGTAGAAATAAAGAAGACAAGTAGAAAAAACTAAAATGTTTTGCAAGCCTGGTATCCTTAGGTAAAAATCCAAAGTGACTGTATTCTAGCAGGAGGAAGGAATAATGTGTTTAGCATAACTTGTTGTACCAGTATGTACATAACCGGTAAAGGCTGTGCCTCCTCCACAAACACTCTGAGAAGTTCTCTAGTGACAGTACTATTCCTTTATGTACATATACTAGATGATAAAAATTACTTGGTTATTCTCGTACTGTCAGCTGCACAATAGATATGTTCTTCTTGTAGGTATCTGCTGTTCATTTCAAAAGCTAAATTTAAAATATTTTTCTTTCCTTACTAAGGATTTATAGGGGAAAATCCCCCCCCACCCAATAAATCAGTTGATATCCCCTGCTTATTCTGTTTCTTTAAGAAGCAGCAGATGTTTCTAATGGCTATTTTGAAAAGAAATACAATACTGATGATAAACAAATTACATAAAGTGGCTTTATCTTTTTTTATTTCAGACTCAGTCACTGGGGACAAAAAGTGTTCAAAGTCCTTTGCCGTTCATTGGAGACATTATGAGGTTATATGTCAAGGCTATTGTGTTTAACTTTAGAAAACAGTAGTTAAAGGAAACACAGCTCCAGTGGGGATGGACACATGCTGGCTTAGCTGTCTAGGGCAAGTTAATGTTTTCTGAAAAGGCTAAAATATTATGATTTCGTTTTCATCCTGGTCTGTGCATGTAGTTATCTCTTCAGAACTAAGCACTGTTCATATATTTCCCAGACCTTCCCTCTATACAGTCTCCTATATACAACTGCATCCAAGACTTTTCAGGCGTATACTAAAACTAATTCATCTTGCAGATAAATTGTTACTGTTCCTGTAACCTTTTGTACCACACTGCACACATCTGAAGATGACAGAAACACACTTACTATAGTCTAGTTTACTTTAGAGAGTACTGGACACGCACACAAAGCTTTTCTATCCTTCCTTTCCTTCTCTGATCAAATAATTAGGTAGGGCTAAAAAAAATACCAGTGTGAGCCAACATGGTGATGTGTTAAATGATGATGGAATTTCAGAAAGACTTTAACTGTGATGGCACTCAGAGAAATGGATGTATCTTGGTCAGTGTAATTGCATATGCTCTGGGAATCCAAATTCCTTCCTGTTTTGCTCCAACATTCTGACTCTTGCAGACTGCAGAGTATTTCAAAAAGAGGGACAAACACTGTTTTTTAGACTCAGAGTCCAATGGCTCTTAAAAATATCTCCTAAAACACATTAGTTCTCGGTTACTTGCTCTGTTCTGCAACACAGAAGACTCGTCTGGAAAAGACTTTTTGCTAAAACAAAGATACTGCTGTGAAAAAAGAGAATGGGGTGAAGAGGCAAACCAGAAGATTTCCAAACTGAGAGTCAGAAGGAATTGTCTCCCAGGGACTGCTGGAACGCTTTTAGTTTTCCTTTTCAGAATGTAGTAAAATTATTTTGTATGGTCACTAGGCACATTTCACTAACAAATTCTGTGCCTGTGTGAGAGGCACTCTTGTTCACTGCAAATTTTAGGTGAGCT